CCCATCTTCTGCCTTTACAGCCAGGACAGACAAAGAGGCACCTTTAGGGCATGAGTTTCTTGACCTATTTCAGACATACTCTCCTGCACAGGAGCTGCTGAAGCAAGGAGAGAACCACGCACCTCCCGGGGCACCTGCTCACTTCAGCATCTCCAGCCAAGATGGGGAGCACAGGCACAGCCAGGGTGGTGGGGCACAGGCCATGGTCCAGGATCCCCCCCGTCCCTCCCTGTGCAGCCCCGAGGCCAGAGAAGGACACAGGAGCCATTTGCAGGTGGGAGACAGATATCATGGAGGGACTGGGCAGCGTTGGGAAAAAGACAGAAGGGCAGCAGCCAGCAGAGTAGGGTCGTGGGGCACAACCAAGGAAGATGTCTCCTCACTTAGTCCCTGGGGGAGGGTGAACTGAAGGGGACTAGAAGGGCAGATGCCCTTCATGGCTGTCCCTGAGCATCACCAACAGCAGTGAAGCAGTTAAGGTGTGGGGAGACCTTTTTCGTTTGCTGTATCTGGAAATAGCACAGTGCAGGTTTTGAGCGTGGGCAGCACTGTGCTGACATTTGTCCCTGCAAAGCATCCCCTCTGCCACCCCTTGCTCAGGTCATGGAGCAGGAAAAGCCACTCACTTGGAGATGGAGCCTGGCTAATGAGGAAAGCCTCTTGAGGAATGGGACATCTTTTCCTCGGGACTCACCTGCTAAAAATACCCTGGCAGGGATGAATACTTGTGTGAAACAATCTGCAGCCCAATGGGATCTGGTGCACGCTGGAATTTCTTTAGGCTAAAATGAGGTGTAATGTGAGGCAGGCAGAGAGAGAAGGAGGAGAAGCCCGTTGCCTTATTTTTGGCATATCTTTAGGGTTCTCTGCTGATGGGAAGAGAGGGGCAGATATCTCCAGAGCATGATCCAGGGCAGCGCATGGGCTTGGGGACCTGGCCAGCCCTCTTGAGGTACCTAGCTCTTGGAGCACTTAGCTCTCTGCTTTAACTTCAGCAGGATCCCAGAGCAAGCTGCTGTGCTGCAAGGCTGCACCAACCCATTCATCAGGAGCTAAAATAGCATGTTATTTATTAACCCTTGCTGGGAGTAAAACCATATCTTCTGTCAGTAGGAAATCATCGCAGCTCTCTTGCAAAGAAGCAGACTGAGCTCCCAGAAGCTGCCAGATGCACATTTTTCTCACCCCCTCCTAAAATATCCCTGTAATTTTAATTTACTCAGACGAATGAGCAGTTGACTGAACAGACATTCATTACATAACTCATATTAAGAAAAGAGACACCTGGGATAATTTTGATTGATTTACTTGGCAGAGTTTTGATAGCTACTGAAAAACATACTATTCATGTTTAGGTGAAAAATAAATGGAGTCAAATGTGTGTCACTGCATAGTACTAGGAGGTATATACAGCCACATGTAAAAATGCATAAACACAAACATTTCTGTACAGCAACTTTTCTTTTCAGTCTGTATAGAGAAACACTGGTTTATAATATGGGGAAAATATAAAGCAGACATACATGCAACAAGGACATGACAGTTACATAGGTCCCACCTGCCTCCCAAGAGTTACAATAATAATAACAATAATAATAATAATATTAAAAGCCTTTTTCAGGGAAAAAATTTGGAACCTGGAATGTTTTCATGTTGAGGTTTCCAGAGAGCTTCAGATGTCAAATGTATCTGAAGGTGATTTAAAGGCTTGATTCAAAGCCCTGCGAAGGCAATGGAAAGACTCCATTAGTTTCAGTGAGCTTGGGGTCACAATCCCATTCTGCCCTCCCCCAAAATCCAAAGTTGAAGTCTGCAGATAAAAATAAACAATCGTATTATACAAAACTTTGTATATAGAATACAAAAGGTAACCGTTGACTTTTTGTATAAAATACAACTTTTTGATAGTATATTTATTTCACATATGTATAAATATAACCCAAATAATATGATTTTTATTATTCCTACCAAAATATTATTACTTTTTGTTTTTTGGTTTTTTTTTTACAAAAGTTTACAAAACAGTTAATTCTTTATATTTACAACCCAATACTGCGAAGAGTGCCTGGTCAATGATGAAAAATAGACTATAATGGTAGTGCACTTAGCCATTGCAAAGAAAGAGCAAAAAGACACTAGCTCCGTTCCAACAGAAGTGTTCTGAAGAAATGATACTGGATTCAAGTTTTGGTTGCAAGAGTCTTTCACAAGCTCACACTTCAAACACATTAGGCACATCTTTACAGCACTGCAAATGGCCTCTGCCTTTGTTGAATTTACTTAAGACGGGATGAAATTTTGATCCCGGGGATGGTACTCACAGCCCAGTGTCTTCTCCACTCCAGGCTGAGGCCAACAGGACAACGCTCAGCACTGAATCCACCACTGGAAGATATCCTGAAGTCTTGGGACCAGCTCCTCAGCTGAACAATTTTTTTACATCATTTGAGGACATGGAAAACAATCTGGCCTTAATACAGAAACCAGTGGTGGTTTTCTCAATGGCATATGAAGGTAGGTGAAGTCACTAGACTTTAGTGCCCTTTGCTCATGATGCTACTAACTCAGCCTCGGCCTTAGTGGCATCGCAGTCATCTGTTCCTACCAGAGCTTTGGCCCTCACTGCTGGCCTGCTCATGGGCAGGGTGTGTGCCTGGGTGTGAGGCAGATGAACTGATCTTTCCTTCACTTTAAACTCACGTAGCTATTATTTCGGTCTAGTTTTGCACAATTTATAGGGGACTCAATTGTTCAACTGTGTCTGTATCTCTCCAAATTCAGGTGAGGTGCCAGTGACCTGGGCTGAAAAGCTCTTTAAAGATTTGGAAAAAAAATGTACTGGCAGATCAAAGGGACCACATGCACCCCAGCCAAAATGGGGGAGAAGATGGAGCTTTCTGGGCAGCTGAGCTGCTACATTACACAGTGCAGGGGTATGCAATGATCACTAGATGGGGCAGCAGAAGTGACTCTTCAGCAGGCTTTCTAATCCCTTATGAAAAACCTGTCTAGGAAGGAACAGCATCATGGACCAGCCTGCCTTGACCGGCATATCTAGCTAAATGCCCACATTACACCTTTCCTGGAGGTGCTGGTGCTCGTTTGTGTGATGGCGCTTCTTGAAACATCATGGAAAATTGTGCCCACATGAAGTGACAGGGTGAAGTGACTGGAAAAGCCTTATTAAAATCTCTCTTGAGAAATAGGGCAGATAAGTGCAGAGGCTATTGTCAAGTAGTCTACTCATCCTGCTGCCACTAACAAGGATGAATAAAGCACTCGCATGGGGCAGAACAATGCCTCTTGGCGCCAACGCATGTGGACATAGGCATTGTATTTCTTTGCCACTTCTCATTTTAGGTTATTCAGAGGAGGCTGTGTAATATGTCAGAACAGCATTTTCATTTGAATTGCAAGATCTGCTCCCATCTATGAATCCTCCTGTCTGACTCACTGCTTTAGAGTGACATAGCACCTCCTTCTGATGCCCTTACTGACCAAGTCTACTAGAGAAAATTTAACATGGTTGAGACTATTCCCTGGCACCGAGGTCAAGCAGTGTGGACCAACCTGTACCCTTACTGCTCTGCTCTGTTTGCCACCAAGGCAAGGTGCCTGCAAACTGTCTATGGGCATGGTCCTTGGCCTATGTTCACTGCCTAGTGATGCACAGAAATTGCTCAGGGCACTGTTAGCTGGGCCATCCCCAAACCCAGAGCAGATGATTGAGTCCACTGCCCAGAAATGTTCCCCAAAACCATTTCATTTACCAGCACAGATGTGGCCGAGTGGAGCTTCCTACTGTGAATAGCTCAGTCAGTTATAACTGATCTGCATACTAGTTTCAGGGGCAGAGCTTCTCGTACTCTGCCCAGAGGCTGTGAGAACTTGGGCCACCTCTTTCAACTCTTCCCATATGGCAAAGGGAAAAAGGGATGGAGCCAAAATGCTGTACAATCAAAACGGTAGCCTCTTCCTAGACAGAGATGATGTCCTTCCTGCTGGGGTAAACCCGTTCGATAGCAGAGAACCAGGCTGAGCTACCTGTCACTTGCGGTGGGTTAAGATGAAATGAGGGCAGTGGCTTAGCTGAGCAACTTCATGCATTTGCCCTCCTCTAAGCTGGACTGGGAAAGTAGTTGGTGAGGGTCAGATTGTGAGCAACCTTCTCGCTTAAGTTGTCCATTAAGTCACTGGAGTCCCCGGAGCAGGGCAAGGTGGCAAAGTAAGGTTCGATGTAGTTCATCTCATGTTTCCCTCAATGCCCAAAATGATTGTGCTGCTGGCAGGACAGTAGTGTCCTCTGATACTTGCTGCAAGCAATGATGAAAGGGAGAAAGTGAATGCTAGAGCACGCTGAGTAATGCACTGGATGATCTGGTTCCTTCTTCCCTCGGACAAGACCACTTACCCTTTTGTGTACTACAAAACAGAGAGGGTTTAAACCAAAATCATCAGGAAAACAAATGTGAGTTTGCAGTGTGTAAAAGTAAATGGTTTTTGTAATGCAATGAGATTTACACAGGGCCTGATACTGTCAGGGCTGAGTAGTCCTGAGGAAGTTGAGGGCTGTGAACATGATAACTGAAGAGCTCCGGACCACTTGGGCTCTTACTTGCACTCAGAGCAATGAAGTTCCACAACCCATACCACTGTCTGGTGCTTACGTGTCTGGGAAGCTAAACACGTTTTTCCACACAGTCCCTGTGAGAAGAACTGATGGGTTTGCAATGTGCTGGACGCCGGTGTGGGGAACAGACCCTTCATGGGTTCTCACTCCTTTGAGGCAGGCATGAATATAATTTACATTATCATTTCACTAGTGGAGACTTCAGTTTTGTTCCTAGAGCATCATTCCAAACAACGCAGTCGCCCTACATGGTATTTTAAAGGACAGACAAGTTACTGGAGTGTAAATGAATACAGCAGGTTGTTGGCATCTAAAGAGTAAGCTAACGTCCTTACTGCCTCTTCATCTGCTTCGCCCTTGTTACTGTCACTTACGAATGGTTTCCCAAAATTTCATCCAGGTTGATGTCTTTCATCCAGTCATCGTTACCAGGTTCCGTTTTCAGTAAAGAATCTATAAAGTCTGAATCACTGTTGAGCGCAGGTCCTATACTGTCACCTTGCTGGTTCAGAAAGTCAAATGCTAGGTCATTACCATGGTCACTTCCTTGGTAAGCCCGAGAGTTTTGGGTTGTAGATGTGAAACCTGTTGATGGCAGAGATGACGGAGGGGTCATACTTGCTCCTGGCTGGTTCAAGGTAGGCACAGTCTGTCCTCTCAGCTGGTTAGGTCTTATGCTGAGACCTCGTAGTGAGCCAGCAGACTGTCCATTTAAAGTCTGGTGCATTTGGTTTAGAGGAGGCCTCATTTGGACTCCCGCTGTTAACTGATTCGGAGGTGCCAACGCACGCTGAGGAAAATGCTGGTTGCCTACATTGCGTTGCAAAGACTGGTTAGGATATGGAGTGCCAGTGGGGAAACGGACCCCTGTGGGTTTCAGTGCATCCTGCTGCTTCACCGCAGCTTCTTGTGGGGCCCAGTTCTGGGCAGTGGCAGTAGCCGTGATCATCACGTTGACCGGCCTTTGTGTGGGAATACCTGTGGCTCCATGGTTCAAACTTGGCCTCACTTGCTGTGGGTTGACCACTGACCCTGTCCCAAAAGCTGCCACGTTGCTTCCCTGCGTCATGGTTTGCTGTCGAGATATCACGGAGTTATTCTGACTGGGCAGGACTGGATTTTGGTTTCTGTGTGGCTGCATTTGGTTCATTCCTGAAGTCACATTGTATGCACTTTGTTGGTTGCAAGGAAGGCTCCCATAGCAGCCCATACTCCGAGCAGCAGGAACAGAAGGCATTCGGGTCCCAGCAGGGGTGGACATGAGGCTGGAGGTCTGGGGCATGATGCTATGAGTTGAAATTGGGTTGGACAGGGACATGTTGTTGGAGCTTATACTCACAGCTGGTGAACCACCTGGAAAGGAGAAAACAAAAGTGTTAAACCAAACATGAGTGCATCAGTGTGTGGTGCCATTCAAATACCAACAGGTTAAAAATCCAGTTTCCAGCAGCAGAATCTCTTGAAGAAGATACTTTACTCTTAAGACAACTCACAGAAACTTGCTCAAGGCCTTCAAGATGCCTATCATGCAAATGATGGTTCGGCCTATATAAAGTCATTGGTAGTCTTTCCAACCCTTCAAAGGACATTGGATAAGCCAAAACTGGTGCTCATTGTAAGAGAAATATTGGCGCAGGAAAGAACAGACAGAACCACTGGGCAGGAGAGAAGATTTTCCTGCCTTTTTTTACAGCAGCACTGGATACCTCTGGTAGGACATAGCCTGTCTAAATGAACAGAGGCTGAGAAGTTCAAGAACTTTTTTTCCTAATGGGGCATAGCTCATCCTGGCTTCCTCTAGAGACAACAGAGAGTGATAGGAACCATCATCAGGCCCCTTTTTCACCTTTCATAGACACCAAGAGCAGTGGTATCTGTCCCTTCTAGAAAGGCCTGTCCCAGGTGATAGCAGGAGCCCAGACTGTGTCTCACACATTTGCAGCACTCAGAGCCTTCCTCTCAGCCAGGTGCTGGGAGAGCCCTGTCTGTGACCTGCTTGTCTTCCCCCATGGTGTCTTACAAGACAGGAGGACATGGCTTGTCCTGGTGAGTGGCACCCACATGCCCCTTCTAGGCTCTACTGCCAGCTGGGCTATGGCCCTTTGCCCCTGCAGAAGCAGGAGCCCCACATGATACATGCCGTGCAGGCATCTGCTGCACATGAACTTCACCTTTAGTGCACAAGAAAACTCGAAGTTACGAGTCGGTGTGAATCTGCCAAACGTTTTCTAAACACAGCCAGTGTAGATGGCACTGTGGAGAGCCCCTTCTGCACACTCTCAGCTGCTCCACAGCTTCATTACCTTCACTACGGTCGCTTCAAGTACAAGCCCTGCAAGAAGCACAGCTAGGAGAAGTCAGGTTCAAGGCAAACAAAAGGAGATGGCTCTTCTCCCAATCTGAGGGTCAGCCGAGGAAATCTTTGCCAGGTGGCACAGTGCAAGTTAAATTCTAGTAGCACTTGGTGGCTCCCAGAGTGTGAGAAAAGCTGTTGAATGGGCTTGCTACCAAAGTACCACCACATTTTGGGAATTCCCTGAGCTTCTCCCAGAGGAGGAACGGAGGAAGATCCAGCCCTGGAGCTTTGCTATTTCATAGGTAGCTACTAGTAGCAATTGTTAGACATGGGGCACTGCCTTGGTTTGAGCCTTCACACATACAACAAAATCAGACTGAATTTGACTACCTTTGAATTCACCATCAAATCTTACTATATATTAGTCTGTGTGATTAATTTTATTAGCTGGTGCCTCATTCATTCCTTCTGACTGCACAAGTGCTTCAAGACTGTGATGCCAAGAGAGGTGCTTCAAGCAGTGTTCTCCTAATACATCAGTTTGTGATATGTTTTCTAAACTCTTTTCAGAACCTGACAGTTTCCAATGTTCGATTTCAAGGCTGTACATCACAGCTGGTCACAGGAATAGCTCTTGCACCTCTTCAGCATGAATGTAAAGTAAGCTCTTTTTTTCTTGTTCAGTATCATCTCAGACTGTGTTTGTCCTTTTGGTTGCAATCACACAGCCTGTTTACAGTGCTATCTGGAGAGCAATCAGCCATTTCCTTATGTGCTATGTTAATTTTGTATCACTCTGGTTTCTTAACCAAAACAACCACTGCCAAGTCAGATGTTTTAAAGGACATTACCTGAACAACCATTACTTTTATCAACCGAAGTTGTGTTTTCACTGAAAAAACTGCCATCCTAGTTTGAAAAGATTTGTTTCCATCAGTCTGTGTTGCCTGATATTAATTATACTCCCTTCCTAAATTCTTTATTATTCAGGGTGTATCAGCTCCCCAGTATTTTTGCCAAGCTCTGCGTTTAGGTCACTAGGCCTGCCATTACCTACTTACTCTTTTAAATTTTATAATGGTATTGGCAGTCTTCCTTGGAGTTTCAATAATAAATAAAAAGCGACATTAAGAATTTGGAGAACCTCTCAGCCAGCTCTTTTAAAAGTCTTGAAGACAAATCATACACATACATAATTAAATTGTCTGTGTTTAGGAACAGCTGTTTAATATACTGTCCCTGTTGAAATTTCACCATAATGATGTTTAGTTCCTTCAGACTGGATCTGAAGAAAAAATTATCATATACTTCTGCCTTTTCTGCATGATTTTTATACATATGATATTTCCATTTAGTAATGGATGCAAAAGACTCCTTTATTCCCGAAGTACTTAAAAATAATCTCTTTGCAAATCATTATTAACACTGAGCGTGACTCCACAACCAGAGCTGCTTGTTCCAAATCAATATAAACATAGATATCTAAATTAAGAAGCTCCCTTTATCCTGCAAGGCAGGCTTTCCCACAAGCTGCCTCTAAGCAGGAGACACTTGACTACAGACAATCTAACTGTCCTCACAATTCCATTGTCCTAACTTAAGCACCTAAGTTCAGTCCTCGAGCTGGGCAGTCACTGGGACAGGAGATACTATGAGGAGTCCTCCTGGTTTTACTCCCACAAGGACAATCGGATCCTCCTCCACGTCTTCCCAGGGGGACCACTAACTGAATTTGGCTCTGGAAACAAAGAGGAGAAAATCAGTGCTCAGCAAGCAACCTCGTGATGAGCCCTACCCTTGGCTTTGCTAGTGGGTTGTGCATTACTCCCTGCTTTTTGGAAATACTGTAGCATCATTTCACAGGGGGGACAGAGGTGGAGGCCCTGGTTCTCTTTTCCCTTAGGCTAGTACTCAGGAGGAGGAATGGCACAGAAATTGGTGGCATTGCAAAAGATCTGGAACAGCCATCTGGGGAGATCTGGTTCTCTCCCTCCAGCCAAACTACAAGTCCGTGGAGTCACTTCATTTGTTGCTAGGATGAAGCCCTTTTGGGGCGACCCCCCCAGCTGTTGAGCAGCCCCAGGGCAACGATTGCACTGCTCCAGCAAAGGCCACGCTCTCTAAAGAGCACAAGTGGTTGAGACGTGGCTTCTACTCGCTGTGTGAAAGACAAGGCTTCCTCTTTCTTCGTGTCGCTATTTTTATACTTTTATTTTTAACGCAAATATTTTCCATTCTGATTTCTTCCAGATGGGAAGAAATGTCTTCACCAGCAGCACCGGGTGCAGCAGTAGGACCCCCCGGGCTACAGCAGTTCGCAGAAGCACCATCACTGCCTGATTCACCTGCTCTTCTCCTGGGGGCTTCTTGCTGTGACATGGCACCACGAGGAAAAGCACAGAGGATTAAAATGCATAACCAAGTGTCTCCAAGCTCCTATGTCATTTTATTTACATTTATCTCTCTTCTTCCCTGACCTGAGCAAAGCTATTCCCAGAAAAAGGGAATGGATTCCCTGCTGCTACTCCCTTATGCAAGAGTTTCCTAATCACTCCATCTGGTAGCTTTCCTGGGAGCTCCCAGCACAGCTCTTACTCCCAGGCTCGCCTGAAAAGCTGCTCTCCTCCTTGAGCTCACTCAGCAGGGACTTGAGATTTGAATGGACAAGTGCTGCCAAGCCCACGTTTCAAACCCAGGCAATGAGTCTTGAAGTACCATAAGACTGGCAAAGAGTCCGTCAGATTAAAAACAACAAGAGCCACATAACAATGGTGGCTGCAGTCATTTCCATTTTCTCTCTCAGGCTAGAAATGGATTGTCTTTAACCAAAAGCCAAGAATCTCAGTTAATCATTGGATTCCAGGAATAAGCCTTTAAACAAAACATCAAATCACAGGATTCCCCAGCAAACTGCCAGGATTGCTGAAGCATTTATTTTATGAGTGCAGGAGGTGCCAGGCCGGCAAGCAGGGCTCTCTCTGCCCTGTGGCATTGCACTCATTGGGGGTTATTACCTCTGCATCAATGATGCTTCCCCATGTCTGAGAGAAGCATGAACAGCCTGGATAAACGCCAGCAGGTTCTCTGGGTCATACATCAGCACTCCTCAGTGGTGGAGGACAGTAAGGTAAATAGCACAGGAGAGGAGCAGCCACCACCCACTGCCTCTGCAGTGATGTAAGTGGATACCCAGAAAATGAGGCCCCAGTCATCAGTGTATGCATGGCTCTTCTGGATGGTCTTCCAGCTGGAAAGCAGGAAAGAGTTTCATTTAGCCTATGGACACTTACCAGGATATTGGTTTGCTTGTTGCATGTTGACCACATTCCTTCTTTGGTCTTTATAATCTGGTGGTGGCCGTGTCAAGTGTCTGTTCAGCTGATCTTGTGGAGTTATTTTTTCCTAGAGGATTAGAGTAGAAATATGTTAATTCACTTTTCTTTATGCTCTCCTGGTTCTGTGTTTCGCCCACCTGTTGTTTTAGTGTGTACAAAGGTGAAGCGTTCCTTCCTTTCAACACTGTCTGCTCCACAGGAGAGGCACCTTTGAACCTGCACCATCAGCCACTGAAGTCTGTATGGAAACTGTTCTGCTGTTTGTGTTGTGGCTTTCTTTTCTGAAAACTACTTAGAGTTTCTCAGCCTCTGAGAACACTGGCCATGTCTGCACTGCAGTACAAAGTGTCTTCTGATATCCACACCGTCTTGCTCACCATGCTTATCAGACAGAGAGGCCTGATGGTTCCTCATGGCTCCTTCCATGTCTGTGCAGCTAGGTTTGCTTTCAGCGAAAGCACAGAGACAGAGCAAATGCCCAAGTCTAACCTAAACCCAGAGCAGGGATGCAGCAGAGGAGCAATGAGGGAGCAATGATGCACCTTGGCTGCATCAGTGGTCATCAGCCCATTTCACCCATGCAGCCCTCTCTGCATGAACAGCTGGCAAAGAGGATTTCAGCTTGTCATCCGCATCCACAGTCATGCCCATCCCTCACTCCTTCCTTCCTCCTACAGCAGAGGAGCTCCCAGAGAAATCAGAAAAACCCTTGTAGTGTCCTTCCCTGTGTCTCTCCTCACCAGGGATGCCAGCACAAGACAAGTCAGGGTTTTCCTTCGCCCTACACTTACATGGTGCTGTCTTTGCTCTTACACTGGAGCAAGGACAGTGGGGAAAGACTGCAGTTAGAAAGCTGGTTAGTAGGAGAGACTGTTTTATTTGGGGCCTGCAGGGACACATCTCGGGTGAAGGGAGGATAGAAATCCAAGTCCTTGAACTGAAATCTGACTAACTGCCCTGTGTTCACAAAGGTCTGGAAAGTGCAGGCACTGGAGTCAATGCCAAATCTCTCATCAGCATCACTGTGACTTGATGATTCCAGACTACTACTGCCCACCCATGAGCAATGACTCCTTGGGATGTGTGGCCCCACGTCAGGAAAATGTGGGTTTGACCACCTCAGACATTGCTGTGCTGCCAGAATTTCAAATGGGCTCCTCTGTGTGAAAGGGTCAGGCCCTGACTAGTGATGGAAGTCCTTCAGAGTAATTTGGGGATCTTCTGCCTGAAGAGAGCATGCAAATGGACCTTCTCACAAAAAAAATTTTTTTTTTTCTTCTGCCAGGAGCACTTTAAATCAGTGAGAGAAGAGCCTTTCTTGTGGTATACAGGCAGTTCTGTAATGCATTCTAGGAGTGAGGGGTCTGATTAAGATTTATAAGGCTTGTTTTAACATAGTGCTCAACCTGAACCCTTGTGAAGAACAAAGACAAGTTACCTCCCAGGAAATCCCTGCAATACATTTAAAAACTGCAGGCTGGTTTTGCGTGTATTTCTATGTATGTGATACAAAAGCAAAAGCAAGCTGATGAAAAAAAAAAAACAACACATTCTGTAGAGTGATTTTAGTTTCTATTTAATTTATTTTTAAGAAGAGTTATCTAAGCAATTAACTTTCCATTCTGCTACAAATTCTGACAGAAAACTGCAGCATGTGGAGCTGACTTGAAACTTCAGTTTTCTTCTGCATAAATTAAAAACTCAACAACTATTTCCATTATAAGACAAATGAAATCCTTAATTTCAAACTCATTCTAATTGTATTTTTGCAATGGAAATAAATTTGTAAACAACATGATACTCTCTATATAAAACAGAATTGTTTTGAAAACATCCCCACAAAACTATGACTGTTTTTCCACTTCTGTGTTGTTTTTTCATTAAACATATCAGTATTTCGAAGTCCACATTTTTACAGATAAAAGGCAGGTTTGGATTCAAAATGTCAGGCCAGCATGAATGAGTCTGCTCTGTGGGCTGAGAGATGCAGAATGAGGTAAATAAGCCCCAGACTTGGGTTCTGATGGCACTGCAGCCTGGGGGAAGCCAAGCAGGTGGTCATGTCACCTCCATCCTCCCTGAAGCCCTTCCCTAATTGCCACAGGACACCCGTGTTGCTTTCTGCCTGCCTCAGGGACATGCCAAGCTCAGTTCCTCTTCTAGCACTTCTCTCTTCTCTGTGCTTTGGCAAGCAGGACGACCAAGGAACAGAGAATACAAGGATGCAGAGGGCATGTATTACTTCTCTGGGCAGCTGGGACTACCCCCTGTTGCACTGGCTATGGGTGATGGGCCATGAAGCACCTTCATCTGACTCAGTTCATGCACTATCAATGGCAATGCCAATTGAGTGGAGCTAAACTAGTGAGTTCTAGCAGACCACAAGGCCCACAAGAACACAAATAACCCCCATGCCTCATAAAATTACAAGAAACTCCCAACTGGTCTTTCATTTATCAAGGGACAAAGAGGAACTGGCTACAAGTACCTGGAAATGAAAAAAGAAAAACAGAGAAAGGAGGACATATTTATGATCACAGACAAGCACACAAACCTGTGTTGAACACTAAAGTGGATGTACCTGATCCTTGTTTACACCCAGACACTTTATACTACACCACCAAAGCTGCAGAGCCTGGAATTCAGCTTTCCTGTGTGGTCAAAGCAGCATAGCAGTGCACCTTAGCTTATCTTGCAAAGAAAACCACCGACAATATTCATATGCCTCAAATTAAGCATATTCTCCTAACAAAACCACAGTAGCTTGGATACTTGAGTTATTTCATATAAACTGAAGGAAGTTTCAAAAGGATTTAGCAAAGTGCTGAAAAATATGAGGCACGCTCTAGAAGGTCTTGCAAAAATGACCTCAAAGTTTTGGGGGGCTTTCTTCCCTGTCTTAGCTTTCTTTTCTATTGTCTCTATGATAATCTTTCCCGTGTTAAATAAGGAATTATAAAACTTACAGCCTCTGCCAACATCTGCTGCTGTAGAAGGAGTTGTTTTTGCTCCATCATTTGCCGCTGCAGAGCCTGTTTCTTTTCCATCAGTTGCTGATTCAACACTGATTGCTGGGATGAGTTCATGTAACCACTTCCAGTGTTTGGATTTGAGCAAGAACTGGAGCTTGGAGTGGGTCCAGCTCCCTGGCCTACCACAGAGTGTTGATCCTGAAACAGAAGAAATGGCTCGTAAAGGATGAAAATAATAATAAGCATTAAGAAAAGGAAATAATCCTTTTTATGCAATTAGCTCAAGTACAGGACACAGCCCACAGACTCTCAAAAGAAGTGACTGATACAAAGGCTTTGACAAAATAGGAAGAGGATTGAGTAACTTCATCGCTCATGGAAGACTCTGAAAACGTGCCAAGTGGTTCCAGTGGAAAACCTCAGTGTTGTACCAGGAGCTTGGAAATGTTCACAGAACTAACTGAGCTGGCCTGGGGATCTTTCAGGAAACTTGCATCAGGCTGCATGGCAGTTTGTTTGACCACAAGGGAACAAACTCGATGTCTGCTGGTTCCTAGCATCTGGCGAGCAGCAGGGAGAAGTTACAGGCTCACTGCTCGAAGTGGCATCTATTCTTGGGATAGACAGAAGTGGGAAGTTGTTACTTCACAGTGGGGTGAATGGTGCTGTTCTCATTCGTCCCATCACCTCCCTGACAAGAGCAATCTCTGACAGATTGCTGATTGACTCCCATTAGAGGCAGGATTAAACAGGCTTAAACTTTATCAACTTCTTTGCTAAAACAAATGTGGAACTGGACAGGACTTTGACGTGTGCTTTAGGGTCTCCCTGGTCTTTGCAATGGATCTAGATCTGCTTCCTCTTCCCTGTGTGCTTCATGAGGAAAGGAAGGTGAAAAGCCATCTCAGAACGCAATGGGGAAGGTACCTGGGGACTTAAAACACGCACATACAGGAAAAGAGAGAACATGGGATAACAATATGCTGCTTGTTTTCTTGCAGCCATGGTTTCCCTTGGCAGCAATACGTTTTCTGTCTACTTGCTCCACTGGTGTTTGGTGCTTGGGCCTTTACCAAATGTAGGAAATAGCTTTCTCAGTTCACACACAGAAACTCTCAGCCTGTGTTGGATCACTTGATTGTCAGGTACACCTTAAACCACCCAGCTACAAAGAAAATAGGATACACTGGAGAGGTCACAACAGTCATGAGAAAGATCAGTTCTCTGACTCCATTTTGTTGCAGTTCATGATAGGAACCTAACCATATAATTCTGTTTAACCAGCAGGATTTTTGCCTTGCAACAGAGGAATCCACAGCTGGACTTTGATGATCCCTGTTATGCAGTGATTCTTTCAAAATCAACGTGTAGTGCCACAGTCTGGTCTGCTGCCTAGGTAAAGTTCTGCTCCATGGCCACTGCCTCCCATGGCATCCCAAGAAATGACCAACAGTTAAACAAGAACTGGCCAGGCATAGCCTACCCATGTCCTGAAGACCACAGAACACTGATGCTCATCGCTTTGCAGACTCCAGAAAAGCTCATTTCCATGCCTCAGCTTTTGCACCCCCCACCCCAATAACACACACACACACTGCAAACTAATCCAACTTATCTTTCTAACATCTGGCATGGAAGAAACACAATGATTGTTATGGGTATTTCTATTTTTAAATAATTCTGTGGCTTTTAGATGGGGCCGCACGAGTGTGTAGCTAGCCAGATAAAGTATTTGATGACTTGTTAGTGAAATAAAAACCATGACTTTCTTCTGAAGCCACCTGCAGCCCCCAAGGCAGTGTTACAAACCCACCCTTCAAAATTTATTGGGCTCTTACACAATTATATCCCGCACACTCTCTTTCATTTCCAGAAGGAATCCAGGATTGCTCGGCATTGCCATATTTTTCAGGCCTTATGTTAGCTGCAAGAGAGAAAATACCTCCTCACAACAGACCTGCTTGCCAAGTTGTTGCGCAAAGTTTTTTTGTCTTTCTTAAAATATTTTGAAAAGAAAAATATGTTACAATAAATTGGCTTTGACTTCTATATTCAAAAGACTAGCTTGAACCCAGCCACATGTTACATCCATGGATAGAATTCGTCTGTTGTGTTTTTGCACAGATAATTCTCCCCTCAATGTGCTTTCGTAGTCCTGTGTAAAACAAACAAACAAACAAACAACAAAGCCCAGCTTTTTCTCTCCCTCATCCCTTGCCTGGCCATATAAGCTCTGGAGAGGGATTTTGTTTTAAGATGAACTGTGTACTGTCCATTCACAACACCTATCAAAGAAAGCTCTTCTGTAATAGCAGTTGGCACAAAACACCAGCTGCTTGGCAAACAGGCCCTGAGAAAACAGTATAAATCATCAACTTGGAGCCTGTTTGATTTTTTTTTGCATTTGGTCCTTTCTCTGCTGTTCATGAAATGTCAGTGTGAGCCTATGAATCTACAATGTGTTACTTCTCCTGCCTGCTGATCTTCCATCAGCAGTGATGTGATAGGAGAAGGACAAACAGTTTCCTAATAAATCAGGGGATTAGCTCTGCAGCAGTTTGACCCTTCATGAACCAGTGCTATCGAGCCTTCCTCTCACCCCACGCTTGCAATCACTGCAGATCAGAAGGCAGAAGGGCTACATCGCTGCCAGGGGCGTGGGGCTCTGCCCCTGTGTTTGGCCAAAGCATGCGTTCCAACATCCCTGCCAAGGAATGGCAGATTTGGGTTGGAGCTACCCTGCTTTTCTTGAACTGTTTCCTCCTGCCTTAAGCCTGGCTTTACTGCAGCAGCTTTACCCCGACTCCACACATCTAAAGCTGCTGGTGGCCTTCTGAACTTCATTCCTGGATTCCTATGCCTGTGGTTTATGTACTTTGACTTCAGAAATTCCTGATGAAGGAGAGCCCAGAGTGGGACATGCATGTCCCCTCACCCGGGGGTGCCTCTGCCCAGCAGGCTGCAGGGACAGCCCAACATCCCTCCAGACGGGGAGCCCCAGGTGCTTGCCTGCACAGTGACACCACGTGGTTCCCCTGCACTGGATGGTAACCTTCCCACCTTGCCCCCAAGGAGGTGGCACAACTGGGAGCACATCCCTGCAGGCAGCCAGGTGTCAGGGACAGGGTGGAAGCATCGCACTTCTGACAGCTACGAGTATCAATCCGGGTTCCTACAGAAGAGCTGGAGCCCTTGTGGGCTGTGCCTGGTGCCAGCTGAGGCAGGGGCAGCAGCCGAGGGCCGAGGTACTGTTCAAGCACCACAAGCCTCCATCTGCTCTGCTGGTGCTCCAGCACAGTGATGCTCCAGGTGTAAACCAGGTTGCACCCCATTCCCTGATGTTACAGTAAGATATAAACCCCACGAGAAGCAGAAAGAGAAGCAGTCAGTGAAAGCTTCTCAGAGCTGCTAACACAACCGGGATTTTGTTCATAAGCGTCACAAAGAACATCATGCTCAAGTGTCTAAATTAGCAGTAAATCAAAACAGTTAACACTGTTTGCCTTTCACTATCCCTGCTGCAGCTGACTTGTGTTCATACAAATAAAGGGAGATTTTGGCTGCTAACACCATAGGGACTTTCTGAAATAGATTTTTCTTCTTTTCTTTTCTTTTCTT